ATTGAATTTGAAAAATGCATATACATGTTATATCATGTAGCAATCGGAAAAAAATCAAGTAATAATTAATTTCATTCTAATAATTATTTATTTATATTTGTTATTGTCAGTCGAATTGGGTATTGATGTTATAGTAAAAAGCACACAACAGCGATACAATGTATATAGGTTAGGCTCACACAGCAACACATGTGACACAAACACTCAGGGTCACATGACAAAAACATAACACTATTTATGGCAACCTCCCTTGACATTATGGGGCCTCTTGAATGACAAGTGACGCTATATTAGGGCGACTTGTTCTACATTCTTTCATTAAATAAAATATATGTATCCAACGCACATGAGCTACATATTATTCTTGGGTTGGTTAGGATATAGAGGGATTTGGCATATTATTATTATTACAGTAGAGACTCTGACGCGAACGACGTTGTTGGGTACTGCTTGGTTGGTTGACGCCTGTTTAGTCACAAACGCCCGAGTTTCAGTGTAACACAGACAAGATATGTTTTGGTCGATCAATTTTATAATCAGTATTTGAACTACCGAGCTGTAAATCTAAATAATTATAGAAAATGTCGGTGAGGCAACAACAGCAAAATATAACGTCTCCGAGCGTCGGCTTGGTTGACAAGGGCTGAAGGCTCCCGTCAATCGCAAGCTACACAAATGTATGGACGACGAACAGTGACCAAACAACAATCGCGTGAAAACGACTGTTCCTAGCATTTCAGCGAATTGTTACGCCACTCGTACACACATATACACAAAAATAGTATATCATACATACCAGAGACCACCATTGCCTCATTTGGGCCGCAAGTTTCAAAACCCATCTTGACGTAGAATTACAACTAGCTATCACTTTCAATCCAATATGGCCTCTCTGCGACCTAAATTACCCTATACCTGACTACTAAGAAACAAAGACCAACACTATTTGTTACAGATTATGTATTTCCCCGATTCTCGACTATAACGCACAACGACAGCAACAAAACAAATCATTTATGGATTTCTGGAGTATTTTATCGATATGAGCGTAACCAATATCACGTAAATAATCGACTATGTTCGCATTGATTTGTGGGATATGTCTCTCGTATTAGGGCATGAGGTAATGGAAGAACCTGGGAAAACAGCGTCATCAATGATAGTATTTGACGTGAAAAACTGTAAGAGATTAACTGTTCATTTCGATTTGCAAAAAGGGGGTTCGATAACCGTTTAGCTGACAACATTTAATTGCATACTAATACGGTTTAGAAGACTGCAGATAGCAAAAATTAATACATGTATTCTTGTTTAAAAAAATACATATATTATTTAGAGCCCTGTCAGCGGTCATCGGCATCGGGCTGAGTTCAGTCGAATACATTAAAAAGAATGTGTATACAAGGTACATTGTTCTCCTAAATCAGATAATGGCCGAATGCAGGTCAAATGAGGGGTCACCCATTTGAAAATTAGGGGTTAAGTTGGTTTTCTAAAAATATTTTGGCGGCAAAATTGTTTAGGACTGATACATTTGAATTTGATTTTTGTTTGTTTGTTTGTTTGTTTGTTTTTACCTTGTCCGTATCACAGTCAAATATAACGTAAGGCATGAGAGGAAAAATGTCTGTCCTCGTTGTTGTTATCATTGTTGTTGACTCCATCTTTTTTCTGTGGTTACAATTGCTCAAAAAGTTTTTATCCAATTTTTGTTTCAATCTTGGATATTATATCAACCAGTTTGGGATCTCGCCCAATTTAGGTTTTCTTGATGTATTTGTTTTTTTCAAGATATTTATTACATCCCACTAAAATATCTTCTTCTTGTGGTTCCAATAACTCAAAAAAATTGTATCTATTCATCTATTTATCTACTATCAATCACTGTGACATGTCAATCAAGTTCAATTTCGATGTGACTAGCAAATGTAATTTCCAAGATCGAGGTAAACTTTGACTGAAATGTTAGACGTAGATATAATAGGACTGAATGGAACGTTTATACTGATGGTTATGAGAACAAGACGTTAAAATCCCTGCAAATGAGGAACCCAGTATTCGCCCGTATCATTTACAAATGGGTTACCTCTGCGAAGTACGTGGTAAATTGTCGATTATCATAGTAAATTGTTTGGTAACTCTCAGGCTGACCGGTAGATCGTTGGTGAGCCAAACACTTTACTATCTAGAAGAGAACGCACATGTGGCCACGATAAACAAGACACGACATCAACTGGAACCAGTATAATAATAGTATTTTGACCGGAACCTTTTAATATAGGATATATGGACACAGAGCGGATGTAACAAACCACTGCCCTAAGAGACGAAACTCAGATTTCATCCTTATGTGGCACGTTTATATTCTTTGGTCTGAGATTTAAGGATGTGGTAGAGTTAGTTTCGTAAAGTATTGGGCTCATATTTTTATCAAACTTAAAACTGAAACACATCTAAAATACCTTTTTTTAAAAACAAAATAAGAAAAACTACTTGTATAACGGGATACTGTACACTTTGTTTTTGAGATTATATCTAGACGCAAACAATAACATTGCACAATCCCTTCACGACGGGTTCGAGATAATATAACACTGGATAATTTCTCGAAAACTATACATATGACGAAAAAGTCATATATTATTACGGATATGAATATATTTGTGTTTTCTATTGACTTGGATTCAACGCATCACTTTGCGGATGTTTTTACTCAGTACAAAATATTTTTTTTGAAGAAAAGCTGTCTGTAAATTGCCAAAATGGGTTTGTTTTTGGAACTATTCCAACGGGAATCTGCTTTACAGGTACAGTATGGTTTCACAACAAATGAATAGTATTCATCAACAAATTCTAATTATTCGTAACAACCATAAGTATTGAAATTGTTGCATGTCATTTTTCGTTAAATCAGTTTTCAATGGCAGCCTAGCGCATATAGTCCAGTCCCAACCAAGTAACAAACAGACTACCGGGGTAGTAATTAATTACTAGCCTGAGATATAACATACATTTAAACAGTTAAGTCAAGTATAATTGTATGTTACTACATCATGTAGGCCATGAATTAGTGGAGAGAACTTCTGTGACTGTGTTAGCGTTTCTTGCAATGCCCCTGGTGATCCAAATACAATATAAAACAATTAATGAATTTAATTGTGAGTATTCGATAATCTACTGTAGTACATTCAGATGGTTTACTTGTCCCTTTCTCAGAGAGTTATAAACATAACATATCATTAGAAAGTTTTTTCATATTCTACAGCATTTGTTTTACAAATATTGCATGTCGTCAATTTAAGGTCAATAACCAATCTTCTCCCGTTTTCGACGAGCATAGACACTACCGAGGGGGTATTCAGACAAATATTTGTCAGCGTCTTGTTATTAGCTTTTTAAGCATCTTTGGTTTTGCTAAAATATTGCTTGTGTTTCTACATACTAGTATGCAGAGTATATGTCTTTCAACTTCCTGAGCCGAATCCGTGTGAATATAAAATATGTTTAACAGACGTAACCCTATATGGGTAACCCCAAACTTCAGCTTAATGAATAAAAACAATCATAGAATCGAATAATTAAAAATGTACATTACAACAAACTCCATCATGTTTGTAACATTTACTAATTATTCGCTGTTTTAATTTTAATTTTAATTTTAATTTTAATTTTAATTTTAATTTTAATTTTAATTTTAATTTTAATTTTAATTTTAATTTTATTTTAATTTTAATTTTAATTTATTCTCGATTAGATCTTTACGGAAAACCACATTTTTTCATCGGTTAATCATCATACGCCGAAAATAACATTATTTGCATAAAGAAAAGCAAAAAGATTGTAAATATCATGCGTTAACTGGATTCATGCGTTACTAGAAAATTTATGCGTCAACAATATTTGGGCTTGGTCATTTATAATTACAGACCCCTTGTCATAGTACATCTATCATGTCAAAATTGGTTACAATAATAAAAAAAAAATATTTATATACAAATGTTGCCAATAGGAAATGTTTTCGACGTTTTTGGTGTAAACAATACACCCTCCTATCGGGGGTATCATAGGGTCGCCCTGCTACAGACGTCCCAGGTACTAGTATATATATATTTGCAGTGTTCGACGTTGGTGGCGTCTTAGTAAAAATACAAAATGGCTGATTAAAAGTTATAGAATCGTTCATAGTCACGTCATGAGCAGATTTGCCAATTTTATTGCTCGATCCAGATTGCAAACAAGACGAATATTTTCCACCCACGAAAATCCGTTTGTGAGTACAATAACACCTTACTCCCATCTGTGTATTTGGTTCATATTCGGGAAGAAGTGCAAACATTTGCCTGGACTCTCGTTTTGGATATTGATTTAAAAGTAAACTGCACTACTGTAGGCATATGAATAATCTATCATGATTATTTGCTTACTCGTGTTCATCACCATCCAGGTTTACGCATTTAGGCTACTTCGTCATTTGCAATCATATTTAATTTATTGTATGCTTATTAACCTCATAGAGGTAAATAATGGCTGATCAGTACATAATTTAGCTATTCGAGAAATGGTCAAAGGGGGACCTTCCAAGCCCAGGGATTGCACCAAACATCATGGGACACTATTGTTTATGTTATTTACAAAGTTAATCTATCTTTTGTTATCCATTGTAATTTTAATCCAGAAAGTAAATTTTTTGTGAGATTAGGCTTAACTGGAAGTGCTCCTTTAAAATGTTTACACTAACTACTAGAACACATATTTAAAAAATAACAATTTTACAAAAATTACTATCTAAAGCACAACAATAGTAAAAAAAAATACAATTAAAAAAACTGGTGATAATAATAAAAAAAAATAATAAAATAAAATAATATACAATAAATCAATGAAAAATGGCAAATTTGGGCAAAAATGTTGAATAAAAAATATTACGGTACATCTATTGTCTGATGTCTGCTTATGTGTATAAATTATTCTATGATGCATATACCGTTAAAATAAAGGTATAAAAATAGAAAATAAATGTCAAAAATCACTCAAATAACATCAAATACATATTTAGCTATGTGTGAGTGTCCCATTCATTTGCATATAAGAACATTATATCATGAAAACAGATCACTGTTAATTTTTTGTCTGAGATTGTTTGATCTGTCAATATTACCGTATATACATATATGTGGTTGTAGAATTCATACTAAAAGCTTCTGTTGTATGAATATTGGCATAATCAAAGGCACTGGAGAAAACAGGGAAATACAACTGTAACAAACGTTTAAATAGAATTTTGATTATATTCAAATATTCAAAGATAAGTTATATCACACTTGTACAAAATCCCAAAATTTATTAATTACATTTTTCGATAGACGAATTTCAAAACAAATACATGCCTATGGTTTACAATATGAGCAATAGGACATTGAACTACTGTTACATAGTAATTTTTTTTGGAGTTGGCGATTTATAAACTACATGTATAATACAATTGCTTTATTCAATGATTTTCAAACAAAAACACATCAACACCCCAATATATGAACAGTAGTTTCCAAACTAGTCTGTTATAAACATATTTTATACTACCAAGAGACCTCACATTTAATCTTTTCACCATTAGTTCCCTCTTATCATCACAAATTTACAAAATAGTTCTGTTTATTGTCTGCACTTTCCTTCAGAAGATTGAGACAAAAATAGTCAAATATTTTGAGTAAAAATTAAAAATTGACTAAAAAATTTTGTTAGTTTGAAAAATAAAAAAAAGTGCAGAATAATTTTGGAGAGAAAGTCTGGTGGCGGAAAGGTTAATATCATATTCTATTCCTGTTGATGTTTGGTGGTATGTTGAGTTTCTCTGTATTTTGTAGTGTGTATCTTTAATTGATAATTATGATTGTTTTGAATAATATCTGATTTCTGTTGAGGTTCTGAATTATTTAATTTTTCTGCCCATCATCTCTCAGTCACTGCCTATACATATACCTTGGCTTTGATTTGATTTGCAAAAACTCTATCTAGGGCTACATCTGACATATAGAGAAACTGCCTTCTGATCTCGGTCAATCCCGGATTTGTTACAGGCACAATTGCCAATTAATCCAGTTTTTTCACTAAGGTACTTACTGATTGGTTGACACATTACAGAACAAGATTGTCATACATATTATTTAGGAATTAATCAAATTGTTATCAGATTGGAATACGATCATAAAATTATTTTCTTTTCTTGCATTTCAGGGTATCTCTGGTAATTCAAAGGAACCAAGCACATTAAAAAATAAAGCACAGCAGATTAGGAAAGGTTTACCAAAGAAATGGCCAATTGCTGGCGTGGAACATGTCATATTAGTGGCTTCGGGTAAAGGCGGTGTCGGCAAATCAACTACCGCAGGTAATTCTTGTGTAAATGTTTCAACCTGAGAAACTGATTGGTAAGCATTTCATTATCTTACATTAGTCAATGATAAATACAATTGAACGTATGCAGATTATGTAAGTATGCTATCCATGTACAATAATATGCGATATATATCAAGGATTTATAAGAAGCTTTATATGCATTTGAATGATATATAGAATAGAATATTTGTATATGTTTAGTGTCATAAGCCACTTATTTCAATATTATAATATTATTTTATACAGAATTTTGTTTTTATTTGTTCAGTATTGTAAGCTATGTTTTTCCATTTATTACTATAAAACATGATGAAAAAGCGGCATGCAATTTTAGCAAATTGTGGTAATATGACGTAATAGCGAAATGTTGATTTAGCGAATCTCTCTTGTCATTGTTGATTTCTTTGATTGGCAGCCATTTTGAGTTTATAATAAAGTCATTAGCGACATCTTGAATTAGCGAATCAGTTCTCTCGCGAAATTCACATAATTTATACAGAATAAATGAATGAACAAATTCAATATTAGAGTTCATACAAAAAATTATGTACAACCAGTTCATGAGAAAGAATAGTAATACCCAGTAGTTAAAATAACAGTTTGTTTAGATACTTATTACTGTTTTTGACTCCCGTGTGCGAAGCACAAAAAGGGAGTCTTTGCAGTTAGTGTGTCTGTGTGCGTGTGTGCGTGGGTGGGTGTGGGTGGGTGTGAGTGTGTGTGTGTGTGTGTGTGTGTCCACTGATATCTCAAGAACCATACATCAGTTTTTGATGAACTTGCCAATGCGCAGATTTGATAAGGTTTTGGTAAAAATCCATGCATATTAATTACCTAATTTGCATGATAATTAGCTGATTTTTAGCTGTTCCATGACTGTTCCACTGATATCTAAAGAACCACTCATTGGATTTTGATGAAACTTGGCACACAGATGCTCCAAACTAATGCGCAGATTTGATTAGTTTAGGGTAAAAATCTGTTCAATATTAATTACCTAATTTGCATAATGATTAATCAATTTTCGGCTTTTCCACTGATATCTCAAGTACTAATTATCACATTTCAATAAAACTTGGTGCATAGATGTCATAGGACACTGCACAAACCTGATAGTTTTTAGGGTAATATCAGTATATATTAATTACCTAATTTGCATAATTAATTAATTAATTTTCAGCTTTTGATATTTCAAGTAGTAATCATCACATTTCAATGACACTTGGTACATAGATGTCATAGGAAACTGCACAGACTTGATAGTTTTTAGGGTAATACGAGTACATATTAATTACCTAATTAGCC